TGGTTGCCAAGAACACTTAGTAAAGAAGTATAACTATCACTATAGTTAGTTTGTATCTTATGAGGCCTTGACATTCTCTCTCTTGTAATACAAAAGGACAGTTTCTAATAGGTATTAAATTTAGGTGCAAAAGTCCACTGGCAGTGTAACATGGGATGACCATTAGTCCACCTTTCTGCAAAGCCAGTTTTCTCAACCACGTAATATTATCATTTTTCTTAATGTAAATTCTCTGGCAGCTCTAACTGTCATTCCATGTTCTATGTCAAAAGTTTGAAACAAAACAAGGAATTTTGTTCATAAAAGACCTCACAAAAGTAATCAATGAACTATTTCAACATATTATGTATTTTTAACATTTGTCCCCGAAAGAAATTGTCACTATATCTTCATTTTTCACCAAATACATATAATATGACATTATAAGAATTCTTTTGTTTGCTTTACTCAATTTGAAAAGAAATACTTTCTTGACCCATTTGAATATTTTGTAACATGTATCTACTCAAGTTTAACATGCACACAAAAGAGAGAGACTATGCAGCCATAGAAAATGAAAAAAAAATAACCTGAACTTTTTCCGACGTCTGGGCCTTGCAGATCAGTATCATCAACAACGCTGAATCACAACAAACATAAATAAGAATTGTCAGTAGCCTCCCAGGAAAATGAGGACTTACGAGGTTACAGCAAGTAAAGAGGATTTGGAATCGGGCAAAATCATTGACTTGGAGAATTAGAACATAAATGAATTAAGACAAGGTTTCCTCAAAAGGCCAAATGAAAAATGAAAAATGAAAAATCAACCAAAGAGTTACCTTATGTTCCATTCATTATCTTCATGTAGGCACTCTGTTTCTGATGGTGCTTCTGACTCCATCTTGGCTTTAGTAGCAGCATCTCTGGCGGGCTTCACGAGAGCGTATTCTTTCTGCACAGTTGACATATATTGAACATTGAAGGGAAACAGCACAATATAGATATTTTTGTGAATTCTAATGAATGGAGAGAGGTCCTAAATCCGGGTCACTATACCTGCCTCTCCAAACAAGCAGAATTGGAACATTGAGGATTTGGCTTCATTTCCATTGTTGGGAAGTAGTCTTTGAGGGCATTATAACCCTGAAAACAAGTAACAGGCACAAATGAGACACACACACACACACACTCTCTCTCTCTCTCACACACACTCACACACACACCCCATGTATTTGTATATACACATAGTTATGTAGAAATACATATAGCTAATTACACATATAGACAGACGGGCTTATTCAAGATTTACCAGATATGGGGTGACATGTCCAAACTTTAGCAAGTATTTAAGTGTATTTTGTACAAGAAGCCCAGCAACAACTCCCTGTCAAGTCGAAAGATAGTCAGAAAGACAATATTGTATACCTCATGTTTGGAGTATAAGCAGCTACTAACTTACCATCTAGTGATCTGAACATTTATATAAAAAACGAATTGAACAATGACCAAGCAGAAAGTTGTATAGAAAAATTGTAACTACCTCAATCTAATATTTCATAAAGATAAGAAAAAGAAGAATAGCAATTTTAATTAATAAGAAAATCATTAGATGATTGAGAGGAAAAAAAATAAAAAATAAAAAGAATCACAAGATCTGATTATTATTCTGATCAATAAACATCAATGAACCTAGAGAACAAGATAGGATAAATTGTCATTTCCAGCAGCTTGAATGTTGATATTAATGCAAGCCCAACAAAGACGATGATATATGCTAAAAGAATAGGCATACCATTGTAGTTGGTAAAGATGCAGCACAAACTCCTTCGCGCTTCAATGTACGTTCATCAATCCCAGATGCTACAACCTAAGATGGATAGTACCAGGCACAAAAGTGTGATTCATTTTCCAGTAAATATTGCATATTAAGAAACCTATTTTTACTTTTTTATTTTTGCAGGAAACTGCTAATAGACTAGCCTATATTTGGCTCATGTTTATAAACTATTTATGAACACTCAAGTCATTTTTTGTCCACACATTTCTAGGATCACACAAGTACTGTTTATTTATCCACCATTCATCTCTATCTATTTATAATTTAAACCGTTTATAAACACTTCCAAAACATGTTATATAAACAAAAGAGAATACTGCCACATGGTAATGTTATGACTAAAAATAAAACTAATCTACTTATTGTGATAAATTGCCAATCACTTTTGTCATTTTCAAGAGAGGCAGTCAGTCTGAATCAAGTGCAATAACCATGTAGATTAGAAATTAAGGCAAAAAAATGATTAAAAACAAAAATCCATTATTTAGACCAACCAACTTCAACAAGAAAATTTCACCAAGCACAATAAACTTACCAAGGGAGGCGCACACGCAAAACAGGCAGTTTCGCCAGGAACCAACAATTGTATATGACCTGAAACAGCATTTTCAGATACACCTGCGCAAAAAGTGTTCATGTACATTCACGTAAGGATTAGTTGAATAAATATTTAAATCCTCTATTTCACCAAGTAATCACAAAAGACAGCCTGTTGACATGAGCCAAAGAAGAGAAGAAAAAATCATTTGTGGATGATTCAGGTGCTATAGGATTCCGATAAACTTCAACATAATTGGTATCTATGGACGTCAAAATATGACACTGACCCTAAAAGGTTTCTCCTATAAATTTGAAGTGCAAACTTAAACAAAATTATTGACTGGGAGAGCAAAGTGGATGACTTCACTTTGCTATTGGCTCCTAGAGCATGCATTTTGAGCGTATACGGGTGCATATTCAACTAAACCAACAATTCATGTCTCATAATACAACAAACGCCAAGAAATAAGTACAGAGGATTGCAAAGAAATTGAGGTGGCTTGCCTCCTGAGACCTTAGCATAGAGTGAATACAGACACTCTATATTTTCAGAGAATGACATAGAGATTCCCAGTGTGTTCAGTATCTAGGAACTTCAGAAGATATAGAGTGTCAAACTAAAAGGTTTAGTTAGATTGATGTTATAAATAGTATTAACATAATATGTAACAGACGCGCAGAAAAAAACGTCTGAAAAATTTTTCTGTGGAACAGTTTCTTGAAATATATATATATATATATATATATATATATATATATATATATTTGTCATGGAAATTACCAAAACAATTGCTTTAGAATGTAGTTAGTACCCAGAAATTTCATTAGTTAGAAGAGATGGTTAATTATAAAAGGTTCGAATGTACATAGACTTGTGAGAGTGTTTGGTGGGGGATTAAAATTAGATTTTTTTAGAGAAGTTTTTGAAATGTATAATTGAAAAGTTGTTGGTCCCATGAAATATGTGATTAAAATTTAATGTTGACTTTGAATTAAGATTTTAATCCAAAACAAACAGGGGCACACCAATACATTAGATATAAATTTCAAAAGTAGCTTGACCTAGCATATCATGCATATACAATTATTAGACAGAAGAATACATATAATGCACTTATGATGCACCGATATGGAAACGTGTGTCCGATATGATACGTGTCGAATATGTCGATATGAGATTTTTCAAAAAAGTACCGACACGACATGTTACCGACTCGTTGATTAAATTCTTTAAAATTCTTCATTTATATAGTATAAATATAGTTTTATACTTGTTATTAATTTTTCTTGTTTAAATTTTTTAAATATGAGTACCTATTTGTTATTTAAAAAATGGAAAATATTTATGATAGAATGTTCAAAGAGTGTTGGTATCGACACCGGACACGCTATCCTAATTGAAATGTCCGTGCTACATAGATGTGCACCCAAAGTCGTTCGCAGGTTTACTTCAATTACATCAAGCAAATTCAAGCACAACGGACTTCACAAAGGAAAAATTGAAACAGCTGTCTTGCAGGTGTTATTACCACTGTCAAAATCGAGTATAGCATCGGCAAACACATAAATAACAGTAAACAGACACTATTCTTTCATAATTTAAGCGTGGATGAATCGTTCTTAGCTATTCAAGCAGTACTAGTACCTCATAATGTCAGCCTCAAACTCTTCTGCCACTAGATCAAGGCTTCATTTATGAAATGGAGACAACGCTTCGAAATTGAAAACATGTCTTTTTATATCTATCGCTTGTCATATTACAGTTCTTGAAATAACATTATGTTTGCATCCAACATGATGCATACAATCAAGCAAAACAAGTCTTATACAGATATTAGGTATGGAACAAATAGAAGGAATACTTACCAGATTCCATCCATGTTTGGTTCAACTCGTTGCAAGCCTGCAACACGACTTAATTTAGCTATAGAATTTATAGTCGTATAAAAGAAGAACAGCACATCTAATTTTCTACATTCTTCTAGTATGAAAAGAATACAGCTCCACCTTGTGTAGAAATGAAATTACAAGGCATTTAACCAAAACCATGGATATTGTAAAGTTCGACATAGGACCTTTTCCTCTTACCTGATTCACCACCATCCTTGCTTCATAATTATCTACACAGCTTAAAACAAGATCGACTCCACAACCTTCTTTACTTGGGCAGAATGATTTATTTCTAAGACTTGACATGAATGTTTCAAAGCCCTGTACTGTTGTGATATTTAATGTATAGCTCTGAGAAACAAAATCACTTGATCAACACCGCAGAAGCCAAAGAAAATAACTAGAGAATGCAGACTGCAAGAGAAGGTGAGAGTTGCAAAAAGGGAAAAAATGATTGCCAAAACTTCACCTCAAGTACAACATCAGGATTTATGTCTGATAGAGTTTGGACAGCTGCATCTGTCTTTGTCATGCCAGCCTATAAAAGGGAATACAAAATGTATTGATAATATGTTTGGAATAGGAAAAAAGCGGAAAAAAGAAGAACATCTCTCTAAAAAAATGGAGGAAAAACTTTTTACTCAACCCTGCAATCTCATATGAAAGAGTTAGAAGATGGGAAGTATTTCAAAGGTATGTTTTCCAAAGTTTTTTGCACTTTCTATTCAAACTAGAAAAGGTAATTAATTTCCACATGGAACATACCTCTTAAATTCAACTATGCTTTTCTTCTGGTTCATTTCTCTGTTTTCTTCCAAAATAAAATTTCATAAAATATTACAGGTCAAAAACCTAGCCTTTTTCAAAAAGATCTTATGCTTCTCCTAGAACCCTTATGGCATACCAAGTAAACTAAGTGTAGGGGTGAAAATTCTTAACAAGATTAATCAATATCAAATAAGTGAGGTTCCTAACTATTTCATTTCATGTGTCAACCATTCTAGCTGCTGAGAAACACTTATATCTCAAAAATTAAAATTATTTCTCGAGGAACACCTGCTCTGGACGAAAAAATAGCCGGTTCATGTTAGCTAACTCCACTGTGTCATAATCATACAACAAAAGGCGACCTATACCGCACCTTGTCAACATCTCAGCTGCAACACTGCCAACACCACCTATACCCTGTAATAAAAACAGTAGAATCTAAGTACCAGTTCACAGACTGCCTGTTTAGTATAGGTACCAATACAAAAATTACTGAACATATTAACCTACAGACTACAAGTAAATGCATTAGAAAGATTAAAGGCTCAAAGTCAGACGCTGGAGGAAGCTTTAAAGGCAAAAATTTCTACGATATAATTATATATTCTCCATTGGAAAGTAACAGTACAAAATGGAAAAGCTAGGTGGTTGTTATACTTAGTGAATAATTAACATTATTAAGCATGTTCATTACAACGTAGTGCACTTAATTTTTGTAAAAGTGAAAGGATAATAAAGCAGATACAAAAAGAGAGGAGTTAGGTACAGACAACTATAGCAACCGAGAATTCCCGAATTCTTTCATAATTGTCCACAATACCCATTCTCTGAAGCGCCATAAGTCTGCTGTAGGGATTGCTATCAACCACCTCAGCGCTCATATCCTGAAATGCAATAACAGGCAGGCACATCTTATTGAGCTTATCGCTTCACTTGGATACAGCATTTAATGATACAAATTTGCAACACAACAACCTTGATTTTTAAACGTTGCACTGGCCCTGATGTTGCTATCGTAGAAAGATGCTCAAGACGTGATTGCATCTACAAACACAACACAACCATATCAAAACACCATACACGATGAGAATATAGTCTATATGCAACCTCATAAAAAGTAATACTTCACAACATAGTTTTATGGTCGTCACATATAATAGTTCTGGTGCTACGTCTCAAGCAACTGATGTTCATAAAGGTTAAATCAGGTATTTTGACAAATGGCAATAGAAGCATAAGTTACGAGGCTCTTAACAAAGCCTCACATATGGCATGCTTCAAGACGTAAGGTTTGAGACTTTTAAGGAAGGCCTCACATGACACTCACCTTAAAGTTGCGCAGCTGTGAGAGGCTATATTCTAACCGTTGTCTACTAATTGTATTTTTATAAACTCGTTCTAAAAATTTTGCCACCTGAATAACAGTCCGCAACCATAGAAATATTAATGCTGCTCATGTGAATTTATTTTATACTGACAATGTGTAGGATATACCCCTGAAAAAATCAACTATATGACAATGTACACCAGATAATGTATTCCACAGGAACTCCAATGGAACCAGGAGGTAAAAATTCTTTGTTTAGATTTCTTCTCTTTACCTCCCAATTCAATTAGATTCCACAGATAGCCTTGATTACTTATTCCAGATATCTAACATTTATATTTAATGATTTTGTTTATGACAACGAAATTATCTTTGGTCCTAAATTTTATTTCTGAAAACAGAACTATAAAAATGTCATACGCTCCCACACTTCGAGTTCCAATTTTAATAGTAATTCCAGTCCTAGGGCCGAAATTTCATATCAAAACAGAATCATTAATAAAGATATAGAAACAATCCATCATAATTTCATAACAACACAAAAAAATTAAGACTTAAACGAATACCTTGTCGATCAGAGCTTGATAAGATCGATCTGGCAGAGAACTTTTGAGAGTTTTGAGATCAGTCAACAACTCTTTCAGCTCACCCTCCATTTTCCACCGCAGAAATCACAGTTGCTTAATTTTGCTATAAAATTACTTTGGCTGAACAGATAAAAAGAAAAATGTATGCTTTTCAGATCAAAATTGAGTAATTAAATTTATTTATTTTTTCAAACAAATAAGAAATTCTGGTTTAATACAAATCTGTGATCGGAATCTGGGGTTTTTTCGTTTTTCCACTAGAAGTGAGGTTTAATATATAAGCCGGCCGGTTTGGTTTGTGTAGTCCGGGAGGGTAAAGGCTCCGGTTTACATCCAGTACGGTGAACCGGGATTTGATTCTGTGATGGGAGTGACGACATAGGAACGAATGGGAAGTCGCCACGCACAAGGAGAAAGGCTTGGTGGGCCGGATCCCTCATACAACATTATAATTGTATTTTAGGTTCTCAATCTTTACTTAATATACTACTTATGTCCTTAACTATTTTTTTTGTCATTCTTACAATCAAACATATCATTAGTTAATACGTGTTGTATTTGATAACAATTTTATATCCAAAAGTTCGTCAAAATAACTTGAAACAACTTATTTTTCATCATAATTTTAAAAATAAATAAATAAAAAATGCGAATTTTTTTTTCCTTATTTCAAAGCATGAAAATGAAATATTTTGATATAAATAATCATTAAGGACGAGACGTATTAAATAATAGAAAGTTGAAGATAGAAATTTGATGAAAATAGTTAAGGAAATAATTGTTACAATGATCAAAGATTGAAGAATTTAATTACAATTAAAATATGGTGTATTAAATAAAAATTGTGGTGGAAATATAACCACTCTTTAAAGTTTTGCTTGTAATTTCTCTAATTAAAATTAAACTTTTAGTAGATTTTAATAGAAGTTTTTGAAATAGTGAGGTTGAAAATTTGTAGAATCCATGAAAAATGTGGTTAAATATTGATTGTTTGACTTTAATTTAAATTAAAATCAGATTTTAATCCAAACCAAACATACACTTATATTAGTTCTTTTTCTACTATATGTACTATGTCTTTATTCGTAATTTTTTTTTATATAAATTTTGAGATTTAATATGTATTAATTGCTTTTCATTTTAGAATAACTACAATGAATATATAATAATAATAATAATAATAATAATAATAATAATAATAATAATAATAGGATCTTCAACGTGCATGTGTAAGCATATAATAAGTCTTCCTTCTCATGGCCTAGCCATCCATCATTATTGACATCTCTAGTCAGATGAGTGGAAGATCATAAACAACAACAAGAAAAAGAAGAAGAATAAAATATCCAAATTTGTAATTATATAGGGGTGCAACGACAAACACTTTTGTTTATTAAATGGTAAAATTTTGATTTTGAAACAAATAATAATATTGAAACATGGGCCCTGGACGGACGAACAAGCCCCCCACCTATAGGGGGCTCCAAATGGTACCCCTATTCGTTCAAGGCCCATGTGGTCGTGGACGTATAGCAAGGTTGAATATTTAAACTAAGTTTTCTGCAATGGATTTGTTTTCAGCACACCAAAATATGATTATATTCAAAGCAAAACAATATCAAATCATATCGTTGCACTAGTTGAATCAGTTTTCAATTGGACAAGTAGTGTCGTCTTTTTTAGTCAAAATTTAGGTCCGATATGGAGTTGAATATATTTTAAATTTTTTTATCATCCAGTCTAACTCCTATCAAACCTAAACAGACTCGAAAACTCTTATGATTTGATTGGGATCTCTTAATAATAAGAATCAAAGATCAAACCAATCACACATGTAAATAATGACAATTACAAAAGAAAAAAATAGTTATCAAACCGTCACCTAAATGGCTAATCATGAATTAGCAAACGTTTATATTACCCAAATCGAAAGGGGAAGAATATAACGTACCCTTGGCAAAGCATAGTCGATGTGAAAGCATAATTATTTATTGTGGGTGCCCAAATCCTTATCCATGAGAAGGGCATGGCTAAAGATGTCAACGAATCTAATCGAAACTCAGGTTCAGCTCAAATAAAAATGGTTCAAAATTCTTTTTTACTCGAATCGAGCCAAGCTTTTACTAGACCAAAAAATATAAGCTCAACCCGAGCCAAGTCGACCCCTTTTTTTACTTTTTTTAAATTTGCTCACGGGTTGACCCATGTGGCTCATCGCATAGCTACATACAGCTACAAAAGATTTATTATTATTATTATTATTAGTTTTTTTGGTGTTTTTCTTTAAATTTGGTCACGGGCTGGTTTGAACTTGGGCCAACGCTCCAAAATGGGGCTCAACCCGAGCCTCGGCTAGGTAGAATCAAGCTACAAGTCAGGTTGGCTCGGACCTTTTTTTGGGCCGAGTCATGGGTCATCCAAATCGAAGAGCCTAATCAACACCCATACACGTGGCTATCTTAAGAAATGAAATACCACATGTTCACACTTAGAGCATCTACAAAACTCTTTTAACATCTCTCTATGATCAATCATAAATAATTATTCTAAAAGCTTGGAAATAGAAATTTTTCATAAATTACATATACCCGGCAGGGCGGATGATTTTCAAGCAGACTCCCCATTCATTAGATAGAGAAGATCACCAAGATTTCATGATTCGTTACCGTTTTAAAAAGTCGACTCTTAAAATTACGCTCCAACATACTCTTCAAATTAACATTTTAATTTAGAGAGTGACGCTCTCTACAATTAAATGCATTCAAAGTGTTTCAATTTTCAATGTAGAAAAATAATAAAATAATTTAGAGAAAATATAATTAAAATAAAATACAAAAATAAATAATAAATATTTTTTTATAGTAAAATTAAGTATTAAATATAAAGAGCTCATTGGAATATTTCAAATTTTTCTCTCTAAATTTATTAATACTCTCTAAATGATAGAATATGCTCTTTAAAAATAGGGTCTCTTGAAGATACTCTTACATGGGAACAAACATAGCCCTCTTTCTCTTTCATACACACTTTTTTCTCTCTTACATGTGTATATTAATGATATCGATATATTTGGTACAAAATATTAACGGCTCATTTGACAAGAATTTTAAAAAAGTTAAAAAAAATTACTTTTGAGATCGAGAAAATACATTTGAACATGTTGAAATAATTTATTGGGATTGTTATTCGGTACAAAATATTAACGGATCATTTGACAAGAATTTTCAAAAATTAAAAAAATTAGGGGGCGTTCGCTTTGCGTTTCTGTTTTCTATTTTTCTGTTTTCAATTTCATTTTGAGTTTTGTGTTTTGAGTGTTTGTTTTCAAATTGTTGAAAATATGTTTGGTTTGTCATTTTGAAAAACTATTTCTCAAAACAAAAAATAAGAAAATGTGTTTGGTTTACAAAATTTAGAAAACATTTTCACACACTCTCTCAATACTGCCACCTATGGAGCATCATCTCCCACTTTCCGGCCACCATGGTCACTGGATCATAGTACCACTTTGAAGCCTGCAATGCCGTCTATAAATCCCACCCAACAGTTGGGCCTAACTCCAGCTGAACAGGCTGGAATTTCTGCTCTAAATCAACAAGTCGCGAGGCTGAAAACTCCCATTCCAGCGACGATTTCTGCATGAATTGATGAAATTGAAGTGTTACCCATGGTTGTAGGGACATGATGCTAATCAACTTATTCAAATTGGCCAGAAACATGAATCGATATCGTTGCTTCGTTCTCGCTACTACCGTATTTGAGTAGATTCACATCTCAACGAATTGGTGTATTATTGGTTGATGTTAGGACATGATATTGTTCACCTGGATGAGGGCTATCGACTGTTGGTAGTGCGCGACCGTGGGTGTCGCCGGAATGGGAGTTCTCCGGCAGAAAAGTGGGTGCGACATTTGTGTTTTTGGCTGGATTTTCTACTGCCTCCGATTGATTTTGTGGCTGATGGTTGGTTGGATATTGTAGAGGGGAATGAGGCGAGGCTTCTAGTGGTTGAAGCAAGTGGATTCGTCGTCGGAAGGTGACGAAGGTGGTGATTCCGGCAGTTGAGGAGGCTCAAGAGAGAAGAAGCCGGGAAATGCGTTCATCCAGAAAGAGTGTACATTTTTCGCGTTTTCTACAATTTCCGCCTTTTGTGAAGAAAACGCCCAAAACTGATTTCACATTTTTCGTTTTCTTCAGTAATTTTTTTTTTACCGAAAACGCGTTTTCGACGTTTTTGAAAACTAAAAATGGAAAACGGCTCCAAAATGGCAAAGGTTAGCACCCTTACTTTTGAGATTGAGAAAATACTTTTGAACATATTTAAATAATTTTTTGGGATTGTTTTTCTGGTTTGAAGAGTTTTTAGAAATAATTGATCATGGTAACTGTTGGAGAAAATTCACCAGATTGGATTAGAGATCACAAAATATGAATCGGAAACGCTAATAACAAGATAATCTTGAACTTGTATTAATGAATTGCTTGAACACGATATCGTTGTCCTCAAATGATATTTGCCCCTTCTCCTATGAATTTGATATGCTTCGAAGGTTGTTGGCAAATGGTTTGCATGATTTTAACAAGCCTTACAAGGATTTAAACACCAAAGCACAAATGCAAATCTTAGAAAACTTGAATAACACAAAAAATCAATATGAATATGGCTTATAAAGACATTGATCTTTAATTTTGGAAGTATTATGGAACCTTAATGTTTTTGTAAAGTATTTGCCTTCAATATGGATCCAATATATATAGGCATACACCACATCACGAAATGGTACCAAATTTTAAGTCAAAAGTTACCAATTTTGAATTTACAACAGAGAAAACGGCCTTCAACGGCCAAATTGGTCTCGGTATGGGCAAACCATGCGGTCGCATGGACCAAATTTTTTTTTTTATTGTTGTTGTTTATTTTGAACAACATTATCACATCAATCCCCTACTTGTTCAAAATTAACAAGTCTCATATTCATAATATACGATACTCATGCATAACGATTAGATATCTTTCAATTTGAATCTAACCACAGTGTAATTCAAACAAAGTATAGTCGGAATCAAAGGTAGCGTGTAGCTTTGAACTAGTTATTCTATATGACAATACTGGTAAGAACACACACACAAGTACCACGTATTCTCAAGTTTCTCATAACTCGCTTAGCGCTTTTATGGCCTTGCGCTTATCCCTTTCAACAATCTTTTAAAAGAGAGACTCAAACTCTCTATTAAGGCGGCACCACCTTGAAGATTGTTTAAGTGAAGTTTTTCCAGTACCTTTGTTACCTTTAGAGGTA